TTTTAAATGATTGTTTTATGATATATTGAAAAATTACATTATGATGCTTAGTGATAAAATAAAGATAAAAACAATATTTTTAGCATGATAACCACTAGGTATAAAAGATTATTCATTAAAAAAAACTTGTAGCCCTGACTGGTTTGGCTCAGTGGATAGAGCGTCGGCCTGAGGACTGAGGGATCCCAGGTTCGATTCCGGTCAAGGACATGTACCATGGTTGCGGGCACATCCTCAGTGGGGGGTGTGCAGGAGGCAGCTGATCCATGTTTCTCATCGATGTTTCTCTCTATCCCTCTCCCTTCCTCTTTGTAAAGAATCAATAAAATATATATTTTTAAGAAAAAACAAAAAAAAAACAACTTGTAGATATTATTCCAGAATGTTAGTTGTGATTATTATTTTGTGTTATATGCTCTCTTTCTTGTTTTTTGTATTGTTATTAATTCTCTGTTCCCATATTTTCTGCACTTAGTGTGTGTTATTTTTTAATTGAAATAGTCGTATTTACTTTGAAAAATTGCTTGAGATTATTCAACTCTTAAGGGGCAGAGCCAGCTTTTGATTTAAGGAATTCTGTCTTTGAGTCCACTGCCTGTTTCATTTTAACACATATTAGCATATATAATCTGCTTTTCATTACACAAGATACTGACTAGTTTTATAGTGGTCCACAGAACAGAATAACAGGGAGACAAGCATCAAAACAAATAAGTATAAACTTATAAACTGTAATAACTGCTTCAAAGAAAAAATTAAGTTGATTGATATTTGAGAAGAAAACAGCAATTGGGCCCACAGATTGAGTGACCAGGAAAGGCCGCTCTGCAGAATTGACCTGTAAGCTGCTCTCAAAGGAGGAGATCATGTCTAGGTCTTTCTGCTTCACCACTGGAAATGTTGAGGGAGGGACTCAGGACAGGGATGTGACAGAGGGGCACTTTCCTGGAGAAGAGGACAGCTAGAGGAGTGATCAAGCAAATGCGTGGACATTAAACAGGCAGATTTCATCCCACCCTGTGGTATAAGAGCTACAGGCAGCTCGGGGAGGTCTGGAACTCTTCCTGGAGAAATAGAAGGAGAGATCAGATGGCCCTCTAGTAAGGTGTTTTGTAATGAATTCTTTATTCATCTAAAGGACCCATTTAATTTTTAAGCTTCCTAGGATGTGTAATAACCTATGCCTTCATTGTTGAGCATAGAGCTCTTAGTAGCCGCTAAGATGAATTATCATCGTTGCCACATATTGAGGGGCACCCTCATTGAGACCAGGAACCAAATAGGTACTCAAGCAATGCACATTTTTAATATATCAGCTGATACATTTGCATCCTGTTTATAGGATGAGTGATTTGGTGCATCAAAGAATGAAGACGATTTGGTTCTGGCATGACGTTTTGTACCTTTTGTTTAAGGAAGGAAGGGACCACAAAAGGAACCTAAAGATCTTACATAATTTTACCACCAATGTAAGTCCTCATTTTTTTTTATTGTGGTCACACATACATAACATAAAATTCATCATAATAGCCATTTTAAGTGTGCCATTCAGTGACATTAGGGGCATTAACAATGTTGTGCAACCCCTACCACTATCACTTTCTAGAACTTTTATAAGTGCATGACTCCTATGTTTGTTAACATACCCAGTAGTTAATGTTCCCTACTGGGGGAGGTTAGTCTACTGGGGAGGTTGTCTATAAATAAATAATTACAAAATGTGATATGTGCTATGATAGTTTATTAACAAACTGGGTGCTATGCTAAGAAAATAAAGACACTGGGAACTGTGTTATAAGAATCTTCTGAAAAATGTTTGGATTAGGCAATAGTTTTCCAAAACAAAGGGCATATAAAGCAGTACCTTACAATGGAAAAGATAAAAATTAACTAGATATTACTATGTAATTTTTAATGACAATGAAATAGTAATGTTCTGGATATAGTCTGTCTTTGTGTTAAAAGTATGTTTATGAAAAGGCAAACTTTAGTTAAAAGCATGCATTGTAATTTAAGTGTACTGAAAAAAGTGCTGAAGTAATTATATTTAACCTTTACTGTAATTTTAGTTTAAAATATGATGGCATTGCTTCCTGACCGTGAGGTACTGCCTCCACCAACAGATCAAGTGGTTAGAGTTCCTAGACCTTAAGTGAATGAGATATTGGAGTGAGCTGCTGTCAGTGGAGTATAGCATTATTGCCTGTCAATAGGTGAATGGTGAACAGATTTTATTTGATGGGTATAATTACACTTGTCTTCCAATTTCATACATTAATATCAGTGTCACTAATGAATGAATTCCAAATTGGATGGCTAATATAAAAAAACTAGAGGCCTGTTGCTCAAAGATTTGCGCAATTGGCCTTCCTTCCCCTGGCTGCCGGCACCAGTTTTCCTCTGGCACCCATGACTCAGGCCTTTGGCCCTGCCGCAGCGGAGAAACCAAGCCAATTCAGTCTTCAGTCTTCAGTCGTCTTCAGTCTTCCCTCAGAGCCTTCAGTCTTCACTCCGCGCCTGTGTATGCAAATGAACCCGCCGTCTTTGCATAGTCATCCTGATTGGCTGGCGGGTGTAGTGGAGTGACAACCAATTTACATATTTCTCTTTATTAGTGTACATTCCACACTGAGTGCCAGGCACTAGGGGTTCCACCAAGAATCAAAGAGAAGACATGGTGCTTGCCATTATGGAACTTGGCATCTGTTCATTCAAAGCAGAAGCAGGTTTGGACAATTACCCAAAAGGAGGAGAAAGTTGAAATGTGTAACCAAATTAAGCTCCTGGGCTTTCATTCTTTTATTAATTAACATGTTTAAAATGCCAAGCAGTGTTCTAAAGGTTGGAATTATATCAATGAATAAAGTCAAATTTGCTGCTACATTGAAGTTGGAGGAGAAAGTCACTAAATAACAAATACAATGCCAGGAGGTAAGTGAAATGGAAAAAAATGTAAAGTAGGCTTAGGAAGAGAGTGAGTGCTAGGGACTAGGGTAGCAGTGACCCTGACAGTGTGACATTGGGCAGTAGAGATCTAAAACTGGGGAGGAAGCTAGTCATGCTGGCTTCTGAGGCAAGAGCATTCTAGGCAGAAGGAGCGGCAAGCGTACAGGGTGATTCTTTTCTCTAATACAACACGTAATTAGAGTGATCTATAATTAATCTATTATGTAATGACTAGAGGCTCAGTGAACAAAATTCATGCACAAGGGAGTGACCCTCAGCCCGGCCTGCACCCTTTCGTATCCGGGACCCGTCGGGGGATGTCCCACTGTCGGTTTAGGCCTGATTCCACAGTCAGCCATCACTCTTGCAATCCAGGACCACTGGCTCCAAACCACTCACCTGCCTGCCTGCCTAATGCTTCCAACTGCCCTCCCATGCTGGCCTGGTCGCCCCCAACTGCCCTCCCTTTCCAGCCTCGTTGCCCCAACTGCCCTCCCCTGCCTACTTGGTCATCCCAACTGCCCTGCCCTGCTGGCCAGGTCACCCATTGACTATCCCCTGCCGGCATGGAAGCCCCAAATGGCCCTCCCCTGTCGCCCCAGACAAACCCACTGCCCTCCCCTGCAGCGCCTGGTCATCCCCATCTGCCCTCCCCTGCAGGCCTGGTCACCTCCAAGTCCCCACCCCTGCCGGCCTGATCTCACTCCTAACTGCTCTCTCCTGCCTACCTGATCGCCCCCAACTGCCTCTGCCTCTGCCCCCACCACCATGGCTTTGTTTGGAAAGAACTCGGACGTCCAGAAGATGGCCAGTTGCCCCAGTCTAATTAGAATATTACCCGTTTATTAGTATAGATTGTGTTCTCTCCACCACCCCAACTTTTTCTCATGAGCTCTTTCAACTCGCTGCAGCCCTATTCAGGAGACTACTACTCTATTCCCAGGTTGGAAAGGCTGCAAAAATAGTCCTTGGAAATTATGTATTTGTCTTACATTAAATTTGTTTTTAAAAGTCTTATATCAAATAATGCCCTAAAAATGTTCACAGAAAGCTTTACTATATTTTCATAAAAACCGAAGTTCCTGTTCAGTGAGACAGAACAGAGAAGGCTTAGGAAAAAAAAATCAGTTAAAGAAGCTAGTATATTTTCACAGGAAAATAAACTATTAGGCCATATCAAATTCCACACAAAAGCATGTGTTCATTTAAATCATACAGGTCATCAATGAACGGGCCAATGAAATAAAGAGAGATGAAGTACATAAAAGTGATGACAAGGGCACGACCCTCTCCAACAGAAAACGAAAGGCTTTTCTCGACCTGCTTTTAAATATGATGGACGATGAAGGGAACAAGCTAAGCCTGGAGGCTATTCGAGAAGAAGTGGACACTTTCATGTTTGAGGTATTTTTTCTTGTCACGTTAGTCTCAGGTATCATCATTAAAAATTACAGTTCCTGTTACATAACAAGAAAATGTGTTTTTTTGTTGTTGTTTTTTTAATCTTGGGAGTTGAAAATGCTAAGGATGAAGAAATAGCCAGCACTAATACTTAGACATGTTTAAGCATTTAATAGTAAAATTAGAAATAACATGAAATAGCAAGAATTATTTGTAGCCACCTTTTAAAA